TGTCTTCACTGCTTTTTTTGTCTGTTTGATTTGTTAATGAGAGCTGTATTAAAATCTTTTCATTAGGATAGAATTTTAATCAACTTCTCTTTGTAGGCCTATCAATTTTTCCTTTTATATTTTAACCAATGTCGTTAGTGCATACAAGTTCAGAATTGTATATCTCTATCTAGTATGTATGTATGTGTGTGAATTGAACCTTTTATCATTTTGCATAATTATACCTTTAAAAATGTTCACATATCTCTAATGATATTTTTGTCTTTTTGTCAGTCTTTCTGTCTGATATTAATATAGTTGCATCGCTTCTTTTGGTTAATACCTGCCTGGTACATCTTTCTTTATATTACTTTAATCAATATATTTACCCTCTTCTCTATTAAATAAAATAATTTAGTATTTCAGATAATTCCTTTTTGTTTATCTCTGCCAACTGGACTTTATTATTATTTTATACAACCCCCCTTTTATTTTTTATTTTTTTTATTTTTTATTTTTTTCAATGTTTATTTATTTTTGGGACAGAGAGAGACAGAGCATGAACAGGGGAGGGGCAGAGAGAGAGAGGGAGACACAGAATCGGAAACAGGCTCCAGGCTCTGAGGCATCAGCCCAGAGCCCGACGTGGGCCTCGAACTCACGGACCGCGAGATCGTGACCTGGCTGAAGTCGGACGCTTAACCGACTGCGCCACCCAGGCGCCCCACAACCCCCCTTTTAAAAGAATACCGACATATTTATAATTTCCTCTGCTTAACATTCTCACTTCTTTTTAAAAATTTTTTAATGTTTATTTTTATTGTGAGAGAGAGAGTGAGCAAGCAGTGGAGGGGCAGAAGACAGGGAGACACAGAATCCAAAGCAGGCTCCAGGCTCTGAGCTGTCAGCACAGAGCCTGATTCCGGGCTCGAACTCGCGAACTGCAAGATCATGACCTGAGCTGAAGTCAGATGCTTAACTGACTGAGCCATCCAGGCACCTCCCCATCTCACTTCTAATATTCATTTTGGGAGTCATTTTATCTTAAAGGCAACCTTTAGAATTTTCTTTAGTTATGGTCTGTTGATGACAAATTCTGACAGTTTTTGTTTGTATGAAAATATATTTTTTAAATATTTTATTTTTAAGTAATCTCTACACCTAAAGTGGGGCTCGAACTCACAACCCTGAGATTAAGACTCACATCATCCACCGACTGAGCCAGCCAGGTATACCTCTTATTTACCTTATTTGGGGTCCACAGTTCTTCCTGAAATTGAAGATGTGTGTCTTTAAAAAATTCTGGAACATTCTCAGTCATTATCTGTTAAAATATTGCCTGTTTACCATCTTCTTATGGAAATCTAATGAGGAGCATGGTAGACCTTCTCACACTTTCCTCCATATATTCAACTTTCTTCTCTTCCATGTTTTCTATTTCTTTACCTCTTTGTGCTGTACTCTCAGCATTTACTTAGAGCTATCTCTCATTTATTCAGAGTTATCTCTCTTTAGCTGGACTAATCAGTTTAACCAGTCCATAGAGTTTTTAATTGAAAGGATTATAGTCTACATTTCTGTAAGTTCTATCTGGTTCTTTTTCAAATTTCTTTTAAAAATAGTTTCTTGTACTTTGCTCGTGTTTCTAACTCCCTCTATTATTTCCAAAACACACTAAACATGCTTATTTTCGGTACCTAAACATATTTGTACATCACTAATCTTATTTACATAGATTCTGTATCTGAACATCCCAGTACATAAAGTTTCTGCAGATAAGATTCTGTTCTTTGTTATTTCTGCTGTTTCTTAGTCATTGTGCCTTGTCTCCTTGTGGATTTTATTTTTGTTGGTGAGCTCATGGACACTGTGAATTTATCCGTAGAAATGCTGTGAGAACTGGGCTGAGGGTAGAGTTGTCTAGACTCCATGAAGTCCTGAAGGAATGACTGGTAATATTTTGTACAGATGCCAAAGGTTTCTGTTTTATAATTTCCAGGACCACTTTACGATTTCTCAGCTTAACGTTCTGTTGCTTATGTTGTTCCAGTGCTTTTTTTTTTTTTTTTTTTTTTTCTGGGAAGTACTATGAACCAAGTATTGCTGCATATGTAATAGAATGCTACAGAGACAGTAATTAGTCCTTGCTGGGGGGAAGGATGCAGTAATAGTGTTTGGCAACCCTGTTATGGGTATTTGAGTAATCCTATTTGGAAATAAAATGGTTCTACTGGCAACAAAGAGAGGAAAAACACCTAGAATCTCATTATCCTCACTCTTAAATAACATCTGCTCGTTAGATTACTATATGAACACATTTTACTTTTGTGTTGCAAAAGAGAGACACAGAGAGAATGAATGAGAGATCCCGTGAGTAATGAGTATAATTAAGGTATAGAATGCGATGAAATAAAAAGGATGCTATTTGTCTACTACTAGATATGGAGTCCAAGTTCCTACATGGAGCAAATATCAACTTGTGAGGATGCACAAGCCACGGAATAGGTGGTTTCTGATTAGTTCATGCAACAAACACTAGCACCTAAGAATCAAGCTGACAAGGACCAAGCCTGTTTTTTTCCCCATTGCATCCCTAGGGCCTACGATGTCCATACCAGACAATATTTGTTGAGTAAGTATCTACTATATGCCAGGCACAGTAGTAGGAGCATGACAGACATAATCCCTTACCCTCAGTCTTATGAAAAAATACTACCTCCTCAAAGTAATAGAAGCTTGAGTGTGCAATCAAACAAATGAACACGAAAGATATTATCAAAGATAATGAAAACAATCAGACTCTTTATAACGATTGCATGTGTAGCTTTCTCCGTTAACTGACTCTTACAGCAACTCTGTGAAGCAGGCAGGGCAAACATTACTACCCCCAGTTCACAGCTGAGATAATACTGCCGCTCAGCACTTACTGAGGGATTCTTAATTGCCAGCACTGCTAAGTGCTTTACATTCATCGTCTCATTGATCCATCAGTAACCCTTATAAGGAGATACTGTTATTTCCTCCATTTCAGACTAGAAAATCAGTGGAGTTAAAAAGAAGTCTAAGTAATTGTGCCCAGGGGTGCGCAATGATTAGCTAGTTGAATCAGGATTCATCTCAGGTGGTGGAACTCCAGGGCTCACACTGCACAGAAAAGGGAGCTGGACGGCAATAGCAAATGAAGGTGCTGGAACTAGTGGAAAAGCACTCCAGCCAGGGTTAAGGGTTAACCTGCCTCAAGCTCATGCACTTCTTGCTTGCTGATTGAAGTCTCTGGATCTGTAGCGGAACTAACTTACTTTGAGATTGGCAGACCAATGGCCTTGAGAGGTGAAGGACGAAGCTTTCCTGGAAGATAGGGGCCTGATATTCAAAATCAGCTGCCACGATGCCAGCAAGTCTGTTCAGGGTCACGAGGGCATACAACTAACCGAGTGGGCACCTGCTTCTCCGGCACGTAATCCCCCTCCCTTTTCCCCAGGCCTTCCCCTTTAAAAACAAAAAAACAAAACAAAACAAAACAAAAAACAGAAACCCCTCCAGATTCACCTGGATGGGGAAGATGGTCTTTGAGACTTTAGCCCCCCATCTGCCCACACTCCCCACACTGCTGGCTTCATGAATAAAGCAACCTTTCCTTCCTACCACCACTTGTCTCTGAATGTGGACTTTCCAGCTTCAGGCAGCCATACATGAGTTCGGATCTGCTTCTGTCCGGTAACACTAGTATCAAGCAGAGCAACTTTGATTACTACCCAGATGCTGAACAGATTTCCAAAGGTGAAGCGAATATATTCCCAGAGAGTTGAAGATGAGAAGACGCATCTTTAAATGACTACGAAAATTATCCCACGGTAACAGAAACATGTTAAGTACAATTTAACATTTGGGGACAGGAGCATGTTCTGCTGCTATTTCCTCTGGAAGCAATGTTTAATATTTACTCCTCAGAAGTAGTAAGAGAACTTAACAAAGCCAAACACACAGCCTCATGCTATCCACACTTACATGGGCAACTGCCTGCCAGGCGCCACAGGATGGTAACTTCACCATCGCAAGTGGATCCAGGCAGAAGAATCAAATAACACAAGAGCTGGAAGGGATTCTGGTAACCAGCTGGTGACTAGACAGGAGTACTCAGTCCTCAGTTTATGAAGGCCGTGAAGCTCAGGGATTTGCAAAACCTCCAAGAAAACATTCCATGCTAAAAGGCTTTCCCACTGTCAGCAATCAGTCTATCGCCTTCCTTCCCTTTCCACTCTTTTTCTATTGCTATTGATGAGGGAAACAAAGGCAAGAGAAATGTAGCTTAAATTAAATCTCCTTACAGCTTGCAGTCCACTGATAGCCACCTGAAACAGGCAGGGTGTGACCTTCCTCAAGGAACTCCTGGCAGCCTTAGTGCCTAGTGTTTATGTTGTATTAAAGACTAACCTTATCTTAACAGCAGCTAGCCCTTCAAGGCCCTGAAAGCCCTGCTTCCAAAATTCCTTAGAAACTTAATTTATCTCTATCTCCCTCCCTCCACAAACTTGAAAAGTATATAATCAGTCACTCCCCACAATCCCAGTGCAGTTCTTTCTGCCCACGGGTCCCGTGCCCATGCTATAATAAAATCACCTTTTTGCACCAAAAACGTCTCAAGAATTCTTTCCTAGCCCTTTGCTCACGGAGCCCACTTCAAATGTCATCACTATGTCTCCAGCTGCCTTCTTCCTTTCCTTCAACAAACCCTTTTTGAAAAACGGGCGTGGCCCAGCCTACGGTAAATTTCAGTGGGAAGAAGATGCCTTGCCAACAGATTAAAACACTTTTAAACCAAAGACCTGATCCTTTTCTCTTGCCTCCCCCCCCCCCCCCACGGTCCACCGCCCCAGGCATTGGAGAATCCGGTGCGACGTGGGGGCTGGGCAGGGCGCTCCTGGGGGAAACCGGGGTGCGCCAGGGGGCGCCAGGGCCATCCGGCGCTAATCTGGCCAGCGCACAGCCAGGCGGTCTCCTAGCGACCCGAGTACCTGGGAATACACACCACGAAGGCCCGGCTGTCGTCGCAGAGCCAGGGACACCATGGACGACCACAAGCGGCTGTGTGGGCCCGGGGCGCCAACCCGCGTGCCAGTGGGCAGGGACTGCGGGCCCGGGTAAGCGCGCCCCGCCCAGGCGAGGCGCACCCCGCGGGGGCCGCGGGGGGGGGCCTGCCCCCCGGGGTTGGGGGGGGTTGGGGGGGGGGGGGGGGAGGGGGGGGGGGGGCGGCAAATGGCCAAGGAGGGCTCTGCTGGGCGTGCTGCTCGTCTTTTCTCCACAAGGTCCTCGGCACCTAAATGATTATCATGTGAGATAATAAACGCTTGATGCTCCTGTCGCAAAGCACACTTTTTTTCTGTTTTGCTCCCAACCTCCCAGGGGATGTAGATTGACATGGCCATTCCGGATGGGAAACTGATGGCCACAGAGTGCTCTGCGGAGACTGGCTTAGCTTACCACCCACCCTTCTGCGGGTTAGCCAATTGGATCTGGAGCCTTTGGCCACCCACCTTGTGACTGAGCCTCTGCTTGGGGGCGGGGTGGGGGGGGGGAGTGCCTCACATACTGGGGCGGTCTGCTGCCATTTTGAATGGATGGTGTCACAGCCACAGGGCAGGAACCCAAGACTTTTTGACTTTGCGGATTCCTTGAGCTATTTATGAGAATGGAATTCGGCTCTCTCGGAGGCAGCCCGGTATGGTAGTTGATTCCAAAGTCTAGAATCAGAAAGGCTGGAGTCGAAGGTCAGTTCTCTTCTTGTTTGCCTAGCGACCTTAGACAAGTTACTTGCTGCTTCTGGGCTCAGTTTGCTTAACTGTAAAATGGGAACAACAAAATGAATCACCTTTATATGATCGTCGTGAGGATTAACTGCTATGTCACATGTAAAGCAGTTACTGACATAGAGTGTGGACCGTATGCATTTTAGCAATTATCAACCCTTTGGGAATCTTTTTTCCCACATTTGCAAAGTGTTTGTACTGAAATAATTAGCTGCACAAGAAGTTGCAAAAATAGCACAGAGGTCCCATGCACCCCTCCCCCAGCTGCTTCCAGGGCTGCCATCTTACACAACCGTATTTCATTACCAAAGCAGGAAACGGGCATTGGCACAATATATTAGGCTACAGGCCTTCCTTGGATTTCATCAGATTTTGCTTGCAGTTGTGTGTGTACTTCTATAAAATGTTGTCAAACGTATTCGCCAAGATACAAAAGTATTTCCTCACCACGAGGGAACTACTTCGTGCAGCCCCTTTATCAGCACTCCTTTTCCCACCTCAACCTTTAGCAACCACAATCGTTCTTCATTTCTGTAACTCTGTTCTTTTGAGGATGTGAGACAAGTAGAATAACACAGTATAACACGTTTTGAGATGGGCTTTTTTTCCGTCAGCATGAGGCTGCTAACAGGACACTGTGTATCAGCGGTTTGTTCATTTTTATTGCTCGTATGGTTGTATGACTGTTTATTTGTTTCACCTATTGAAGGACATTCAGGTGCTTCTCGCTTTTGGCTGTTGCTATCAACATTTGTGTTCAGGTTTTTGTACAAACATAAGTTGTCATTTCTTTAGGATAAATGCCCAATACTCCTTTGCAATTTTTTTAATATTTTATTTTTGAGAGAGAAAGAGAGCAAGCAGGGTGTGTGGGGGGGGACGGGGGGGGGGGCAGAGAGAGAGACACACACAGAATCCGAAGCAGGATCCAGGCTCTGGCGTGTCAGCACAGAGCCCAACACGGGGCTTGAACTCACAGACTGCGAGATCATGACCTGAGCCAAAAGTCTGATGCTTAACCAACTGAGCCACCCAGGCACCCCATCTCTTTCGCAGTTCTTAAAAATGGAGACATCTATGGAGCGTACGCTAGTAACTCTGAAAATAGTCAATGTTTAGGGGAAAAAATGTTTTCAGTTTTACTTTCTGGATCAAGTTTTTTTCATAAACTTAACAAAATGCAGAGCCACGTTTCTTAGCTACAAGAGGCAAAGCAGAGCGGTAGGAAGCTCTTGTGCTGCACTGGTTTCCTGTTAGCCTCTCAGAACTCAGTTTCTTCATTTAGAAGGGAGGAGGTAGCCTGGATTTCCTTCAGGTTTTGCCAGATCTGACATGCTATGAGGTTTGAGCTGGCTGCCATACTATCCCCATTTGGAGTTGTAGAACTGTTCTTTAGCAAAAATACCAGTCATCAGATCTGATTGTGTGAAGTGCTTGGATGTTTGAGTTAGTTGTAAATGTATGGAACATAAACTCTGTAAAGATATCTAATATTAAGAAAGTTACTGGGGCGCCTGGGTGGCGCAGTCGGTTAAGCGTCCGACTTCAGCCAGGTCACGATCTCGCGGTCCGTGAGTTCGAGCCCCGCGTCAGGCTCTGGGCTGATTCAGGCTCAGAGCCTGGAGCCTGTTTCCGATTCTGTGTCTCCCTCTCTCTCTGCCCCTCCCCCGTTCATGCTCTGTCTCTCTCTGTCCCAAAAATAAATAAACGTTGAAAAAAAAAAGAAAAAAAAAAAAAAAGAAAGTTACTTGCTAGTAGGTCATGCCGAATGGGTCAGCAAATTGCAAGGTTCGATGTAATTTCAACACCCCCAGCACTTAGCTATTTGAGAATGATTTATTCCTTTCAAAGAGCAACTTTTTATAGCCTTTCATTCTAGATCTGCACAGTAGGACTGGTTTAAGCCCAAACGCACGCACACACAGCAAGCAAGAAGTTTCTAGGACTCACAAGAAAAGAATAGGGCTCAAGATGGAACCTCCTTTTTTTTTTTGAGAGATAGAGGCTAGCATAAGCCTGGGAGGAGCAGAGGGAGACAATGGAGAGAGAGAATCTCAAGGAGGCTGCACACTCAGTGCAAAGCATGACCTGGGCTTGATCCCACAACCGCAAGATCGTGACCTGAGCCGGAAATCAAGAGGCAGATGTGTAACGGAGTGAGCCATCTGGTGCCCCGAGCTGAATGCTCTTAAAAATGCTTTGGGCCTATAAGGATGAGTGTAAAAGGAGTAGATTAGGTGTAATGAGCCATTACAGATGAAAGGGGTCTGGAGGTGGAAGAGGCTTCAGAGAAAGACAGCAATAATATAGAAGTATCTGACTAGGGCAGGGTAATAAGATAATGAGTGACCTGTCTGTAAGTCCTGACTTAGGCAATGTCTGGGAGTGTTAGATTGTCCAGGAACTGGTCTCATTTTTCTTCCGTCAACCTCTTCCATCTCATTTTTATGTCCTAACAGCTCAGTGCAAACAGGGACCTGGTGGGTAAGGAGATTGACTGAAGCAGACAGACTGGGTGTAATAAAGCAGTAGGGAGAGACTGTGAATAAGAGGGTGTAGGACTCATCTATAGAAGGCACCACTGTGCCAATTGCAGCTCCATGGAAAAGTGGACCCAGTGTCCCCAGAGAGCCTGATTTTTATTCTAGATTATTCATGTGAACTTTTTTTATATGTCAGAAGCTCTAGCAATGTGGCTAAACACCTTTCTCTGGAGTCACACTACCTGGATTAAAATCCCACCTCGGGGCGCCTGAGTGGCTCAGTCGGTTAAGCGTCCGACTTCAGCTCAGGTCACGATCTCACGGTCCGTGAGTTCGAGCCCCGCGTCGGGCTCTGGGCTGATGATGGCCCAGAGCCTGGAGCCTGCTTCCGATTCTGTGTTTCCCTTTCTCTCTGACCCTCCCCCATTCATGCTCTGCCTCTCTCTGTCTCAAAAATAAATAAACGTTAAAAAAAAAAAATTAAAAAAAAAAAAATCCCACCTCTAGGACTTATTACCTGTGGGATCTTTCACAAGTGTTTGTTTTGTTTTTAAACTTCTTTGTGCCGCAATTTCCTTAATATGTGGAAATAGTACACAGTACCCACTTCATTGGATTGTTATGAGATTTAAGTAAGTTAAATACATGTAAAGCACTAGAACATGCCTGTTGTATAAAAGTCCTTGATGTGTGTTAACCATTATAATTCTTATTCAAACAGAAAAGGGACCAAATGACAGGTTTGTAGGCCCCCCATGCAGCCCATGGACTGCCAATTTGCAACCTTTGACCCTCTGAGTTTAGGAGGTTAACTGAGGCCCGCAGAGGTTCAATGATGTGCCAAGGTCATTCGGCTAGTTAGTTGTCACTGGGATCCAGGTTCTTGCCACTGTGGCACTGTGGTCCTTTAAAGGACAAGAAAAAGTCGCCAGAGCAGCTGCAGCTTGTAAGTGTCCTTCACAAGGAGAGTGGATAGATGAACCACGGTGGCAGCAGGTTGGCAATAAAGAATTAGATTTACATGGACGGGCTTTATAATATGGTGCCTGGCAAACGAGTAAGAAACAGAATAGTACCATTTATGTAAATTAAGAATACATGCGTGTAAAAAGACAACACAGATATCCTAAGGAACATACAAGCAAAAGGGTTTGTTTTATTATTTACTTATTTAAAAAATATGTTTAAATGTTTAATTTTGAGAGAACAGAGACAGAGTGCAAGCAGGGGAGGGGCAGAGAGAAAGGGAGATACAGAATCCGAAACAGGCTCCAGGCTCCGAGCTGTCAGCACAGAGCCCGATGCGGGGCTCCAACCACCCACCATGAGATCATGACCTGAGCCAAAGTCAGGCGTTTAACCAACTGAGCCACCCACGTTCCCCAAAAGGGTTTGTCTTAAATCTGTGAGAGTGGTTTGCCTGTGCAGGGAGAGCAATGAGAATGGGATGTGGGATAACACGGACTCAAGGAAACAGGGGAGGAGCCTTGCACAGACCAGTGATAGTGTGCCCTGAGGCAGGAGTCTGCTTCGTTGGACCCTCTCCACAGAACCCTTCCTTCCCTATCTCACCTCCTCAAGAAAGGTGGAGGCCGGGGGCACCTGGGTGGCTCGGTTGGTTGTGTATGACTTTGGCTCAGGTCATGATCTCACAATTCATGAGTTTGAGGAGCCCTGCATGGGGCTCGCTGCTGTCAGCATAGAGCCTGCTTCAGATCTTCCTGTGTCCTTCTCTCTCTGTCTCTCCCCTGCTCACATGCTCTCTCTCAAAAATGAATAAACATTTAAAAAAAAAAAAAAGAAAAAAGAAATAAAAGAAAGGTGGAGGTCAGCCTCCTTCCAACCTGTGTCCAACCTCTGTTCCCACCCCTATCCCTGTGGTGTGTTTTCTTCCAGGTACAAAGAGAATCTACCTTCCAAGTGTTACAGAAAGCACAAGCACAGGCCAACGTGCCCCACCTCCCTGAACAGCCTGCGATGGATATTTGTGAAGAAGGGACTGGATGACTTCAGGAAAGGCTGCCCACCTTGCGAGGGTCTGATCACTCGGGGTCCTCAGGAGGTCTTTCTCCCCCAGATTCATCCCACAGCTCCTCAACCTGCCCCAAAGAAGAGGCAGCACAGGCGGCCCAAGGAAGCAGCCTCGTTTTCGAAGCTCTCGCCAGCCCAGCAGGCACAGAAGGCCTTCCTGGCGGATGTTCGAGCCCAGCTGACCCCGCACCCCTTGGCTCTCTACCCGAATCTGGGGGAAGACATGCCTGTTGAGGTGACCTCCTGACCTAGGGGTGTGGGAGGGCCTTGAAAATAATTCTCCTTAGTTGCCTGGGAGTTCTCGCGAGGGGGTGACATGTTTATGTAGGGAAGAGGACGATGAACATCCCCGGGGCTGAGAGTTTTCCTGGGGGCTGGAGCAGCCATCCTTTCCCTGCTCCCGGCAACATACTCACCACTCCCTTTGCTTCCTGTGAGGCCAACTTATGAAGGCCCAGCACGCCAGAAACATTTGACTTCTTTTCCCTTAACGTTCTACCAGCCTACTTTTGCTTGGGATATTTTGGAGGGAGAAACCAAGGGGGGAATTGTCCAGTCTTGCTTCTGTGACTCTAGCCTGGGGTTGAGGGGGCAGCTCCATTATGTCACCAGTGTCCTGGGCTGCTTTTGATTCCAAGCTCCACAATCCTTAACGTATGTCTCTTGTTCCTGGATCTCAGGATGGCTTCCACACCTCCAGGCATCAAGTCTGTCTTTCAAACAAGAAGGGGGAATGGGGCAAAGGTTAACTAGACAAATAATAACTTTCCCGGTAAACATCTCATTCATCTGACCACTTCTAGCTTCTAGAGAGTCTAGAAAATTGAGTTTCTTGGTTGGGACATTGCAGTGTTGAACAAAACCTAGAACACGGTTCTGTTAGATTTCAGAAAAAAGGCAGAATGGATATCGGGCAGGGAACTAGCAGTGCCTGCTACCCCACCCCCACCCCCACCCGTGGAGTCTGTTCCCTAGGTCAGTCAGCATGGCAGTTGTTCAGAAAAGTAAACTGAGTCTGGGTGGCTCAGTCAGTTGAGCATTGGACTCGATTTTGGCTCAGGTCATGATCCCAGGGTCCAGCAATTAAGCTGGGCCTCCATGCTGGGTGTGGAGCCTGCATGAGATTCTCTTTGTCTCTCTCAAAATATAATGAAAGAAAGAAAGAAAGAAAGAAAGAAAGAAAGAAAGAAAGAAAGAAAGAAAGAAAGAAAGAAAGAAAGAGAAAAGAAAGGAAAGAGAAAGAGAAAGAGAAAGAGAAAGAAAAGAAGGAAAACTTCTCTGCTAAGCCCTCTGATGGCCCTTTCTTAAAGTCCTTGTTATGGTCCAAAAGGCCCTGCACAGCCTGCTCTCTGCCCCACCCCTGCTCTGTTCCTCCTCCAACCTCACCACCTACTCCTCTGCTCTCACCCAGCTCCAGCCACTCTGGCCTCCTGGCTGCTCTGTGAACATAGCCAGCATGCTGGTTCAGATCTCTCTTCCGTGCCCGGGACACCTGCCCCCACATATCTGTCTGGCTCACTCCTTCGCTTCCCTCAGATCTTTGCTCACGTGTCTCATGAAATAACACTTCCTGTACTCTCATTCTCTATCCCTTACTGTGATCTGTTTTTCATCACAGCACTCGTCACCACTGGGCTCCTCACTGGAATAAAATCTCTGCAAGGGCAGGGACTTTATCTGTGTCTCTCACTGTGTTCTACCAATACCTGGTGTTCAGTCAATATTTGTGCATAATGAATGAGCGAATGGATAAACAAATGATTCGTGTCAGGGAAGTTTACAGAAAGGACAACTAGAATTCCTCATCAATTGTTTTCCACTTGGGGCTTTTCTCCACCGTCTCCTGCAGGCCAGAGCTTTGGAGCCTGTGACAAACAGATAATTTCCACATCCTTGCAGACGGTGCGTAGGATTGTGGCCCCTATTTCCATGTCTGACCTCCCCAACTGGGTGTGTTGGCTTCTTTCTGAGGCAGGATCTCTTCCTGCGGTATTATGACGGCCACGAGCAGCTCTAGATTGAAATGCTACCAAGAACACCTCTTTTTGCATGCGTGCTTCCAGCAAAATCCCATAGCCCAGTTCCCGTGAGTACACTTTGGATTAGGTGCCTGTTCTTAAACCAGTCACTGTGGTCTTGCTTGACCTGATCTGCCTGTGGAGCGAGGCTGGGGTCCAAAGAAAAATCTAGATACTGTTATTTATAGGAGGAAGAATCGACGCCCGGCCATCAAAAACTACAGAAGCCCTCTAGAGGCACTGCCTAATGTCTAGGCGGTGGATGCTTACCCCAGCGCCCGGCACGGTTCCTGCACAGAAACTGATGAAGGGCATAACTGGCTGGAAAAGCAAAGCAGAGGGGCATGTTGTTGGTCTGGTCCATTTTAGAATCAAGGACCCTTCTTTTTCAGCACATTTTTCTTCTCTTCAAGGCTGTTTTCTGTTTGTAGCTCTTATTAAAGGTGCTGGAAGTGCTGGATCCCGTCAGGAAACTGGAGGACACCTGGGCTTACTGTCAGGGCATCAGGAAAAGAACAAAGGAACCGGCAAAACTTTCAAAAAAACACTCTACTGAAATCCACCCGGGACTGTAAGTATTGTCCTTACCCCCTCGCTCTTTCCTGTCACCTGATGAAACCTTCGAGGACTGACCTTCTCAAAGCCCCTCATCTTTGGAATAATTGTGAGAAGCAAAATAGCTAAGTTCCCAAGGAGAAAGGAGAGGAGCCTTGGGTCCTATTCTTAGTGTTTACTTCATAAATGGATGTGAATTATCCAGCAATACAACATGGGTGTGTGTATATGACTGTAGGAGAGCTGTTCGAGAAGGAGAAAACTGCAGAAAACCGGATTCATTGGCCCACAGTGGCTCTTTGAATCATCTATGGCAAAAGCCCTTTTATTCACTACGATTGGGACTAGTAATTTTTTGTAGGGCAGGAAAAAAAAAAACCTAAAAAAACTAAAGACTTCTTAAAAAAGATGTTGCTTAAGTACTTTCAACGCATTCTATTTTACCCTCAAACATACCTGTACATTCACATGTTTAATTTTCACAGCAACCTTCCTTTGTATCACACTCTTCTATTCCCAGGTCATGTAATATTTAACCTAAAATGTTAATGCCGTGGTAAATATGCTTGACAAAAATAGATTTGGGATACCAATTCGCCTTGTGACTTTAAATGATATCACTGGTGGGCCCTCGGGAGTGTGGGAGAACTGGAGAGCAGCCTACCCACAGACCCTAGACCACTCACAGAGAACCCAGGCCCATGGCCACGAAGAGCTTTTATTAAATTATACATGTTTGCTAAAGTGACGCACAAGGTGACAGGAGCCCCACCATTCTGGCTGCTGAGTGTACCCCCCTGGTAAAACCGGGGAGACAACTGGGCACACTCTGTCTTTCTTCCACTAGGAAGCGAGATGGCCCATGGGAAACGCAGCTCCCTTTCCTGAAGGGAGCCCCACCCCAGCCAGTCCCCGCTGGGGTCCCCATGGGACAGTCCACCTGTTACAGGATTTCACTTCACAAGTCCTTTTGAACCTAGATCCATGTGCTCCAACATGGCCGCTGTCAGTAGTAAAGGTCATATTTTAGCTTCCATCTTTGCCCTTTGTATTATTTTGCTCAGAACCTGGCTGAGGAAGAGAGAGGAGTGTTCT